TACAATCTGTGTTATTCTAAATGCAGTAGATGTAGAAACAGGAAGCCTTCCTGGTAAAATTGAATGAATTGTTAACAACTGGTGTTCAAATTGAGTGAGTCTGCATTTCATGATGGACAGAGATCTGCTATCCTGACTCATGATAAGAAACCAATAGCAGACTCCTTACAAAAATCAAGTACTATTCACGATGAGCAAAGAGTGGGAGAATCTGGCCCTTCATAAAGAAATACATAGATAATAATCTTGGTTTACTCAAAGTCCTCAACAATACTTAGATTCTTAATTTTTTAATTATTACCTGTATTTACTGAATTTGCATTAATTAACATGCAACATATTTCATTAATCTCTATCTCATCAAGCATATATGGATTTCTCGTGCTTATTATCTTTTAAGATTTCAGTACAATAAAATACTGATTCTTCTATCCATTGATCACTTTTCATTATTAATTTTCAAGCAAAAATCACTTTGTTTTATTCTTCCAAAACAACAAAGATACTTAATCGAAAGAAGAAGGAAAAAAACAATCAAAACCGTTTTGAAACAAGCTTAAAACCATAGCCTATTTCTTGTCAACTTGGTAAAATGGCTTAACTTTTTTCGTCCCTTTTTGAGGAGAAAAAATCCCTTCCAAGCTGAAAACTTGTATCCCATTTTTTTCCCACCTGGATCTGTTTTGAAAGCAATACCATTTTTGAACCACCCCCATCACCCTCATAGTCCCTAAAAGATACTGTAATGGGAAGACGCCTACTGTGCTAATACAGATTGAACCTCTCTGGTCCAGTAACATCCATGGTCCGGCATGATTTTAATTAGCTGGGTGTCCACTTACCATGGGTATGGCCAAGTTTCATGTGATCTTGTAAAGTTTGTTTACAGCTACTAGTCCTGGCTCTCGGTGTTCCGTACCGTTATTTAGTTCTAATTTACCTCTAAATGTCTTCTAAGAGCCCAGTAAGCAGTGGAAGTGTTGGTAGTGCTGCTAGACAAATTGATCTCTTGTGGTCCAGCTAATTCTGTAGTTCGGCACTGGTCAGTTCCTCATGGTGCCAGACTAGAGAGGTTTAATCTGTATACCTGGGAACATTTCTTGCACTGATGTTTTTCATTTTAACTGAAAGGGTGAGGTCATACCAACTGTTCTTGGACAGCAAGCAGAACATTTCAAGGAAGATTGTGCTAAATTAGCATAGTATTAGTGGCTGGCCCCAGTAAATGAAACTAGATCAGGTGTAGTGTGGTTTCAGTGCAGATGCTCCTAGTTTGGTCAATTGTGAGAAGGTCAGTATCTGGGGTTATAAATGGTAAGAGAGAATATGGGGGATGGGGAAGCTGAGATCCACTGAGAAAGAGGGAGGTCTGGAAGTTAAGAGATTGGAAGGGTTGTCTTGGGAAAGCTATAGAGAGCAGAAAACTCTCTGTAGGCCTCCCTGTTAAGAGGGAGGGATTATCAGGAAGTGAGTGGTGGGACTGGCCTACTTCAAGAGCCAGTGCCAGCAGGCTGAAAAAGGCTCAAGGCAGGATCCAGTGAAGTGGCTAGTTGGCTACTTTGCCTAATCCAGGATACTGAAAGGCTGGGGACCCCATGGAGGTGCTAGCTTGCTATCCTTCCTGAGGCAGAAAGCCATGGCCAGAGAGAAGATGAGAGCAGAAGAAGGTGATGTGAGGCCTGCTAACTCTCTGAGCCAGAGAGTTGCAAGGGAAGAGAAACAGAAGGTTGTGAGTGAGGCATGATGAGACACACCAGAGCCATGCTGGACAGCTAGGGCAAGATGTAGGATACAAGAGCTCTATTTGATGTTCTTTTTGGACCATGGATGTGGGACTTGGTATTGGAACCTATTTTGCTATGGTTTATATTCTCAGAGCATTATTTTGTAATCTGTCAACTCTGCAAGGGCCCACTGTACTAAAAAAGACTTGGTTTAGACTATCTGTGGGGGACTCTGAAGGTGGGAAACTGAGGCGGGTGCTTGTGTCGTGCCACAGCCTGCTGTAGGAGTGCACCCTGTGTGGGGCTGCCTTATCACATAGACCAGACCAGAACAGTTCCTTAGGTTCCTCCCTGTGCCTCATGAAGTCTAATATGTTATGATCCTCAGTAGTGAAACAACATTAGTACAGTTGTTTATTTGTATATTTGTTGTTAGCTAGTTTTTAGTTAAGAAATTAAATCATTTGATGATTTCATCTGATAATAATTCATGGGTAAGATCATCAATATTACATTTAAAAAAGGAAAAGTGCTGATTTCATCAATCCTTTTATATCTAACCACAACTTTGAATTAATGTCACCCTTTTTCCTTGATTGATTTATATGACAGTCCAGTTAGTTACCTGTAGTAGATAATTATCTTTTATAAGACAAAAAAAGAGAGAGAGAGAGAAAACAGTGGAGCTTTGGCCAGAAGTTACAAGACAGAGGACACTTATTACAGTGAAGCTGTTGGTGTATTTTCTTAGTTCAGTGGTGGACAAGAGAGGAGTCAAATAGGGATGTTAAATATTGGTTACCGGTAATTGACTAGTCGATTAACCTCATGAGTTCTTATTGGTTAGTCGACTATTCTGTAGTCCCTGGGGCGGGGCTGGCAGCCAGTGTAATCCGGCCCCAATCCCGAGGAGCCCCCTCCCACTCCACGCTGCTGCCTCTGTATCAGAGGCAGCAGAATGGGGTGCCAGGCAGGAGCTGGTTTGCAAGGGGAGCCAGTTTAAAAAAAACAGCTCCTCTTGCAGACTGGCTGCCTGTTGCCCTATGCTGCTGCCTCAGATACAGAGGCAGCAGTGCAGGGTGGGAGCAGCCACTGTTTTGCAGTGGGTCTGAGCTCCCAGACCCATCATGAGCCAGAACAGAGCCAGACTGCCTGCCCACCCAGCTCCTACTACACTTTAAATGCAGAGCTGCAGTGGGGGTATGTCCCAGATCCCACGTGAACTGGAACTGAGCTGGGCTGCCTTCCCACGCGGCTCCTAATGTGCTTTAAATGCAGAGCCGCAGCAAGGGTAAGGGTAAATCCCAGATCCACCACAAGCTGCGACTGAACTGGGCTGCTGGCCAGCCTGCTAAAAAATTTACTGGAGGGGGCCGGGAATACATGTAATAGCATTATCCAATAAGAATTTGCTTATCAGTTAATCAATTACACTGTTACATCCCTAGAATCAAGAGGGTCAGAATTTACTTTTATTCCCTATCTTTAAATCTTTAGGCAGAGTTGTGTATAGTGGTTAAAATATATGTCATTGGTTCTAATTCAAGTTGGGCAACTCATTAACTGTGTGATTTTAGGCAAGTCACTTAACTTCATTGTGCCTCATTCCCTTCAGCTGGAAAACTGGATTGAAGTGAGGCATTGCTGAAATTCAGATGCCACATTTGAACTAAGATTTCCAGATAAAATAAATTACACCTAACAAAAAGCAACACTAGTGGGCAAAGGAGTGATTTCAGATATATTCTGGTTGGTTGGACCTTTAAAGTTTAATATAATCTCTTTCACGGTGGCCCATTGCATCACCTGACCTTGCAAAGATGAACTTGTAACTATAGACTGTCAGATCCTAAGTGTCAGAATGTATAACATGCCACAGTGGCAAGACTTGCGTGTAGATTACAAGATCCAACAACAGATGTGCTAGACGAGGCATGTTCATTAGAGGTGGGTGGTTATTTGTTGAGCGTAGGAAGAGTTGTTCCTAAGTTGTTGTAAAACTGTGAGGAGAATAATCTTTACACTCCAAAAAGGTTATTAAAAGTAGTGTACATACCTTCTCGGGGATTCTGGAGTAATATTCCTGAACCAGAGATACACAGTTTAAAATCTAAATAACCATTTAACTTCTAGTCACCAAATCTCTGAGTACCTGAAATCATTTTGGCCTTTCTACTTCATGTGAAATAGTTTATCCATGTAATGGGTCTTAATTTTCTATTATCTGTCATTTTAAGAGGATTACCCTTGTGTATTATATCAACATAGCTTGAGCTGCAGAAGATTAATTGCTCTTTTACTAGGTCTGAATACCAATCCCATTTAACTCTTTGATATATATATATATATATATATAATGAAGGATTTGCAGACTTTGGTTCATAGTCAAGGTGTTTTTATCAAGTTGTTTCTTGAATCACATATTCCAATAATTTGATAAAATAGGGGGGCCACAGGGGCGATAAATCTATTTCATGCAACAATTGCAGTAGAGATGGCTGAAACAGTGTTGTTTATAAAATAAGAGTGATGTTATTCCATCTGATTCAAATGAGTTCAAGAGCAGTAATATTCTTTGACGTGTCATACACCTCCCTCAGTACTAGCATGTAGCTGAATTCAGTAAACACTCTATCAGTGTGTTTCACGTCACATAAAGCTAAGCCAGGTTCCCATTTCTGAGTCTACTTATTCTGGGTCCTATAATGTTTTAGGAGTCTGAGATGTTTTCTTTTAATTGTTATTAAATCTGGTCTAATGATAACTGTCAATTAGTGATCGTTATCAAATGCTGTAGTGCAGATTTAAAATGAGCGATACAGATGTTGGGAGAATATGCATACTATTTTCTGCCTCAAATTTCTCAAGAGAAAAATGATTAGCCTTTCTAGCAGCAATAAGGTAATTTTACAGCTGCATTTTATGTTTCACATAACTGGGACAGTTGTGTCATTCAGTTTTAACTACTCTGCTAGGCCAAAAAAAAAAAAAAGGCTTGTGTACTCTTTCCATGCTGGATTATAACTGATCCAAAAAAGCAAGCAAGCATGCATGGCACAAGCTAAAAGTGCCTAGATTTCAGTTGCTCTGGGTTTAAAAAAAACACAGGGTTAGCTACATTCTGAAAAAGTAACAGAATCTACATGATGCAACAGGGACTTAATTTCTTTGGGATATACCAAGGCAGAAGTTTGGTTTTGTATTTAAGATAAATTCATTTTGTTTCTCTTTGAGTCAATTCTGAGACTCATTCTCTATGTGATTTTTGTTTTTAAGATCTGGAAGGTTTTGACTCTGTAGTACCAGTTGCTGAGAAGCTCAGTCATCCAACTACAACCAGACCAAGAGCTACTGGCAGACGACCTCCATCCCAGTCACTCACATCTGTACGTTCATTTTTTTCTTCCTTTTCTTTTAAAATTATTTTCTGAATTTCTTTTCCTTTTCCTTTTCTTGGTAAGTATCTGTGTTGTTCAGTCCTTTCATTTATGCTTACTCAGCTGCGTCACTCGTATTAATGAGGTGCTGGAAGTGCTTTTCAGGGAGCCCTTTTTAAAAATTCTGCCATGATTTTAAATATAATTTTTAAAAATTTCCCTGCCAAAAAGTTTTACCTACTCTGGAGACACAACTAGATCATCCCTGCCAAGCATGATTGGAGCTAATAAAAAAATAGTTCATGAGAATTATTGGAATCGACTAGATTGCACTCTAGGTGTTAAGTACTTGCTAAACATTTTCCCAAGGAGAATTTTTCCTTGGTCTTTTAAGGAGGTTTTTTAACTGACCCCAACTGTCAGATTATACAAGTTGAATTCGGTGCTATATTGGCAATAAAATACACCGGAACAAAGTATCAACATTTCAAGCAAAGTGAATTGCATGTGCTAGTTGTTTGCCAAAAGGTGTTACATTCTTCCTTGATTATTATGATTACAAGAAAACATTTTTATTTAAATGGTAAATCAAATAAATATACCAAAATCCCTCATCTTTCCTGTTTGCAAACATATACATCCCTGGAAACTAGAGAGTGTCACAGACTAAAGGGAATTTCTTTGTGTGAGCCTCATATAAGGAACTCATAAATGACACACACACTTTATATAGCATGGTACCATAATAATATGGCAGTTGCAGTGCTTCTGCACATTGAACCATGCGTTTAAATGTAATTGTCCAGGCACCTACAAGTTGTTTGAATGGGTTTTTTTTCTCTCATATTTTACTGTCTCTTCTAGAAGAGCTGTTATTTTTGGCTCATAGTTACTGTGATGAAACTCACCTCTCTTTTTCACCACAAGAAAGAAATAGAAAGGGGCAATAGACAGAATGCTCTATGTCTTATAACCCACTTGAACATCAATTATGACTTAATAAATTGTATCTCTCAGGTGAAGGAATCTAAATGATCTGTTGGTTGTGCCCATGGTCACTGTTTAATAGAGCTGAAAAATCAAAAGACACTCCCTGACATCTTCAAATATTAAACATTTGATTGGTATAGTGTACAGTCAGATAAGTTCAGTAACAACAATTAAAGAAAATTTAAAAAGAAAATTAAAGACAGGAAAAGATGGAATTGAAAGGACAGAACAAGAAGGAGAACAGAAAATTTCTGTAGCTGCACATGATTTTTTCATTTATAAGAATGACATATAATAATGTGATTTCCAAATAACAGTCTCTTTCACTTATCACTTAAGATGTGTCTACACAGCAATTCCATTATTTCAAAATAAATTTGAAATAATAGACATCTTATTCCAGCTTCTGTAAACCTCATTCCACAAGGAATAACGCCTCTTCTGAAATAGCTAGAGTAAACTTCCGATAATCTGGCACCTTTAGGACCCAGAGGGTGCCGGACCAACCCGGCAGCACCCCAGCTGCTCTGCCCCCGGCTTCCCCAAGTCAGCCGCTGCTGACCGGTAGCAGTGGCTGAATCGGGGAAGCCGGGGGCAGAGTAGCTCCAAATGTCCCGGTGGC